TGCACCTTATGGTATCGATATTACTTTTATTAATAATTTATACATATCATTATTTCGGCTCCAACTATTTCAGGCATGTTCAACAGAGAAAGTTAAGGCCTTCGGCGGTGAATGCTCATAAATATTGAGTTGTCCATCATGATGTGATCATTGTTCACAATCTTATGTTCCATGAAATTAAGGTTGTGATGCCCTTTTTCTTTTTTTACTGGAACGTGGATTAAAGTTGTTTTTTTTTCCTTTTGTTAAGGAAAGTTTAGGAAATTAAGAACACGAACATTATCTCATTTTTAAAGTTAACATAAGTCAATTTAAAATCACCTATCAATAAAAATTATCAAATTTCAAATCTAAATATTTTATATTCAAATTCTAAATTTTAACCACTTGTATGGTATCCGGATTAAAGTCGTTCTAGAATATTTGAAGGGCGCCATACAGAAGCCATATCACTCCACTCCATGGATCTGGCTGGAAGAGGACGCCCACCATTCACACAGCCTGTCTCGTCCAGTCCTTGGTACTGTTGTTGTCCACTCTCCAGACTCGAGATATAATTTTTTTTATAACCCCATTAACAAATCTGTTTATTTGTTTTGTTTGCATTTACATGCTAACGGTATCAAATGCGATGCTACATCAAATCGAGTCTAAGATTGAAAACTGTGCTGACAAATTGGTCTCTGCAATGGGTCCAAGCAGAAATTGTCACCAATTTGATGAGCTTTTGTTGCATTTTCAAAGCCTCAACTCTATGTACTTGGTTTGTATCCATGGCATCTTTCTTAAATCTTCTTTTTTATTGGTTAAAGTGTTCAATTTGCGAGATGATTTTGCATTTGAAACCAAGAAAACTGGCATAATGACATGAATTGGCTGTGACTATTTTAGATATAAAATTGACAACATAAGATATTATAATATAATCATTTATCATAAATTAAATTATTTTTTATTTAAATTTAAATCAATTAATTTATATAATTATTTTTAAAATATAATATTCAGTAAATTTATAATTTAAATTTTAATACCGACTCTAATTTTATCCACAAAATACAATCTCATTAAAAAAAAAATTGCACTGTTTTGTATAAAATTTTCAGCTAGTATATGCAATGTCTAACCATGAAAAACACATTTAGCAGCCTCAAGCACGTTTTCTTCAAAGTTGTAATTAATTACGGAGCTCATTGAACGTAGACAGGTTGCCATTTTTTGGCCCGCCAAAATTAAACCATATATGGTTGGAAGAGTGCGCATAATTTATATATATCATCGTCGACCATCTATAAAAGAAACAGTAAATGGCACTAATTATGGAGAAGGTCGACGAAATTGGGGCCCACTACACTATTTAGGTAAGACAAACAAGACTTGTGTAAAAGAAAAGGCCAAATTGGATACTAGTTTGAAGACATTGCAAGGAGAAAGAACCAATGAAGAAACAGGTGGAAGATGGTAGTGTGCTGTAATGCCATATCTAACTCGATCAATCTAGCTAGCTAGGCTATACCTCTCTCTTTTCAGTTTTCACTTTCAACCAAGTAAACCCTATCATAATAAACAGTAAATGACACCAATGAAAATCTCCATCTACCTGAAAATGTTACTAATTTATAACCAACTAGGTCCAATGATTCTGGTTGGGATGGCTAGAATTTGCCAGGTAATGACTAACAGTTAACCAAAAATGGGCCATATAGAAAAGGAATTTGGCAGTGTTCTATTGTTATTTATGTATTTATACTGAAGCATGATCAGAAACAGCTTCGCATGCTTTTCTTTCTTCTCATGGAGTATCAAAGTGCAATTAATTCTTTGTATTTGCTGTTGTTTCTGCATTAATTAGGGATAAACATTGTTGGAACTGAGCCCGGTTATGTGAGGGGCATAATGTGAACATCCATTTAAGTGGCGGGAAAACGAAGAGGAAAGAATGAGACAAGCAGCAGTAATACAGCGTGCAATATATAAGTGCAGTGCTTTTATTGCTTTTTGCATTCAGATTGGAGTAAGAACAGAAGCCAAAAGAAGAAATAGTCAGGGCATGCAAAACCATAAGTGTGGAAAACCCCAAACATTATATTTCTCAAATTGGCGTGGGAACTGGTTTTATATTTGGCCTTACCAACCAGTAACCAGTAACCACCATCCCCTCCGAAGAAAATTCTATCTGATCTCAATCATGATGTTCGGAACTACGATGTTGGCAACAACTTTGATGATCAGTATCACTTAAAACTGTGGGGTCTCCATAATAGCCAATGGTACAATCACTGCTTACATGGTTATTGCTTGGTGGTGTCAAAATCTCCCCATGTGGAGTTACTCTGACGATTAGGGCATTGTTTGGTAGTATGAAAATTATGGTCCATGAATCAAGTTCGAACCCTCCCCCCCCCCCCCCCCCAAAAAAAAAAAAAGCCTTTTCATACGAAAAGTTATACGAATGGTATGAACATGATGGAAGAACAACGTATATAGAAGGACACACATGCCGTCTTTTATGCGTAAAATTCAGATTATTCTTTCGGAATATGATGTGTGAGGCTGCATATATATATGGCAAATCGTAAATGCACGTGCTGCTCTTTAATTTCTAGTCGTTTAATCCTCTACCGATCCAAATCCTAGCTAGAAATACAATGTTGAACTTGCCAATTAACATGAGTATTTTCTAATTAACTAGCTAGGCCTTTAAACTTTTTCAAAGCTCAATATATATATATATATATATATTAATTTGGTTACTTTTATGTTGAAGAAAAAAAAATCAATGAAAACCTGATGTTTCGACTTCCAAGAGATTGTGAATACGTTTGAACACATACAGGCCATCTTCGCAAAAGTTTTCGTTGTTTTTTATACATGTTTGAGTGGATATATATGCAAAGAAGTCAATCTACAAGGCATATTTGTCAAAGCTTCCTATCTTTTTGAAAGAAATTTTCATTTCTTGAAAAAAATCTTTCATGAAAACGAAATCATTGTCCTTAATTTCTACAAAGCATTAAAATATTTTGTTTCTCGGAAAATCCTTCAAAATGTTTAGGCCATGTTATAAGAAGTGGACCTCTTGATAAGGTATAGGGTTTTGAAATTTGACAAAAATCTCGTTATTGATAGTGATCATTTTTTGAGCTGCAAGAAAAACTCAGCATTTAGCTATAGATCTTCGAAGATAAAGAACATTCAAGTGGACGATGGAAAGTCTTTGGTTTAGCCATATCTAATCAAGCTAACGAGGGGAAGAAATCGAAAGATGGATTGATGTTTGTTTTAGGAGAATAGTAGTTAATTATAGAGACTTACATATAACTTAAGATATATTGTTCATCTTAATTCAAAAATCTCACGATTTTATTTTATAAATATATCATATCATATTTTTATTTTTTTCAAATGTGAGATTAAAGGCATTATACTAACAGACGGGAGAAACATTGCGGATACGATCCTCACATTTCGCATTTGCGGTTCAATGATTAGACAGGGATATGTAGACGCCAATGCGACGCCAATCTCCTTATCTCTTCTACTACACATTGAGTCTTGTCTCCTTTCCTTTCCCACCCAATAGAAGAAAAGAGTTCGATAGTTCCATCTTTCCTTTTAGATCTTGGTTTTCATTTTCAGCCCAAAATGATTACAATACCACCACAACATTTTGTAAAAGCCAATATAATTAAGCATTTGACATATGAAATCAATTGATAATAAATAAAAAAAATTCAAAATTATCATATAAAATCGGAAATAACATGAGATATTATTATATATTCACCATATGCAAATTAAGCAAACTAATTATTTCAAGGATTGACTTGAAATTTAAGACACAATATAAAAACAAGAGGATATATCAAACTTTTTATATTTTTTACTTTCCATTTTTAGCTTTACGTTGTGGGTATGGCAAGTGAAACTATGTTGGAATTGATAGGTCATTTTCGACATACATGGGGTCGCTTTCGCCCTATGTCCCTAGAGGGGGTGCATTTTATTTGATGTTATGTAATTTGAAATTATTCCAATTATTTCCCATTATTAAACCATTGAGTAGTACCCTAATTAGCACCTTTGTCCATTCAAGTCCATACAAAATAAAAATCCCAAAATCTTTTATGATTAAGTCGAACTTGAGATTTAATTCAATTAATTAATATAATTATCTTTAAAAAGTGACATACCGTAAGTTTAAAATTAAAATTCCAACATTTATAACCTTTCTTTTCCTTATAGTTTATGGCTACTGTTTTATTTATTTATTTATATATATGTATATATAAAACTACAATTAAGTCCTAAATTTGAAATATAATTTCATATCTTCACTACTGAGTGCTTTTATGTACTCATTATTTAGATTTTTTCTTTAAAAAAAAGGAACATTATGATTATTATTGCCTATTGGATAGTGGAATTCCAAAAGACATTTCACTTTTTTTTTTTTAAATTATCTATATATAGTGGATTAGTATATGAGGAAGATATGCGATAAGGATATGTATATTTTTAATAATTTATAACAAATAATGGCTTTGTGACAAAAAAATTTGCTATAAACAGTGCACAAAAATACATATATATATATATATGTGCTTTTGCCTTATATACAGCTTATGATGCCTCATCTGGATAGAGTAGGGATTTTCAACAACATTTGTCGTTTTTGCAATGTTTTTTATATAGAGGACAAGATTTTATTTATTTGATTAATAAAATATATTAAATTTATAAATAACAATTTTAATTCAAATGCAAGATGTATGATAAAAAAAATTAGTAAAAATAAAAATTTAATTAAATAATTTATATTTCAATGACAATTGGACCTTCACCTTAAGAAACATTTTGGTTGGGCCAGTGTTTGCTTTAAATTTTGGACCCATTGGATTTATTGGGCTTAGCCCATATTATGAACAGAGTAATTAACCGGAGGGGCTTCAAAAATATCCGGACACAAGGCGGGAGATGAAAATTGTTACATTTCCCGCTCCTTATTTCATATTTTTTAATAATGTTTTTTTCCTTTTATATACCTCCAATATTTTCTTGCTCTCTCGTGAATCGAATCGAAATCCCTATAATTTTTTTTGTTGCCAATTTATCTACCCGATAATTTTTTTTTATTCAACAATGCCTGCAATTGCCGATCGCAATTCATCTCCTTTCAAGGAGATGGTGGCCACCAGGAGCGGCGACATCGCTAGATTCAACGGCTGTTGCACTCCTCAGAAACGAAGTTTAAGGTCCAATGCGGCAGCGGCGAAGGAGAGTCCAGTGTCGACGCCAATGAAACTCAAATCGCCTCGCCGTCGCCTAAACTCAAATCCAAACAGCCCTGCAAATGTGAGCCAATACTATTAAAGCTTTACTGCTTTGATTATTGTATGGTAGCTTTAGTTAAATTAGTCCTAGAATTTATTATTAATTTTAGATAAGTAAGTAAAATGAAATTAATAGGAAACTTAATTGGTTTTTTGACAAATTAAAAAAAAAAAAAACAGATATTTATACCTTTGTTTCTTTTTAGTGTTTGATGAAATTCATGGTCTATAGAAGACGAGATGAGGTTTAAAAGATTGTTAATATTGTTTAATTTTATATGTTTACAGGGAATTAAGGGAGATTTTAATGAAAAACCAATGAAGAAAAATTGGAATCCTAAAGGTAATTTTATAATAATAATTATTATTATTTTTGGCTTTTAGTTTTAACAATCAATGTTTAACTTTGAGTTCGTTTTGGTTTATTTTAAGATTTTGAGCAAATGAGGGCAGTTAAGGAAGCACTACATGTTTCAACAGCTCCATCAACTGTTGTGTGCAGACAATATGAACAAAAAAGGGTTTTGGAGTTTTGCAAGGTATGTGTAGCACAAGAGAAAGCTGGGAGTTTGTATGTATGTGGATGTCCTGGGACTGGGAAGTCGTTATCTATGGAGAAAGTAAAACAGCAGGTTATTGAATGGGCAACAATGGTAGGTTCATTGCTTATTATCCCTTTGTCTTGGGATGCTATTGAAATGGGTTGTCATTTTCAATTATTATTATTATTATTATTATTTTGAATCAGGAAGGTTTGCAGTCACCTGAAGTATTAGCAATGAATTGTACTTCTTTAGCAAACACATCTGATATTTTTAGTAAGGTATTGTTATTAAGACTTTATTAACATAAAAGTTTGAATTCTGCAAATGTTTACCTGATGGTTACCTTGGCAGATTCTTGGGAAGCACCAGCCAAAGAAGAAACTTACTGGCTCAACATCACCTTCACAACATCTACAGAACCTGTATTCTAGTAAGCAGTCACTGTCTGGCTCAAAGATGATGTGAGAAATTTCCCCTCAACTAGGTTGAATCATCTTTATTCCCCTCTCGTTTTGCTTTTATCAAAATTATGAATTTTTGCAGGTTAATTATTGCTGATGAGTTGGATTATTTGATTACGAAGGACAGGGCAGTGCTTCATGATCTTTTCATGCTTACAACATTTCCATTCTCTAAATGCATATTGCTAGGTACCATTCATTCACTACCATGTAATTGTTTTGATTGCGAAGTGTTCTTCTTATTTTCTTGATTGATGCAATTATTCACTCATGAATGCTATCCTTGTTTTGCTTTTCCAGGGATAGCAAATTCCATTGACCTAGCTGATAGGTTTCTTCCAAGACTCCAGTCTTTGAATTGTGAGCTCTTTACTTCCGTTACATTGGTCAACAATGATATTAAGCTTGATTTTATGAATTTATCTTTTGAAAGCATTTCTTGTGTCTTTGAGATTCTTGAAGCTTATCATTGCTTTTGATCAACTATAATTTTTTATTGTCCTGATTATTGTGCAACTATAAAATCGTGGATTGTCATCTAGTATCTTCCTGGTTCGCTTACCTAAGCAAGCAAAAAAATGAAAGCACCTTCAGTGCAGTCTTATATTTTACTAGCCGAGGGTTATGGATTTGTGCCTTAGTACTTACTAGTCTAATATTTTCAGAATTTTTGTTCCTTTACTTTATTTCTCTACTGATATTAACTTCAACCAAAGCTTTTTATTCCCTTTCTGTAGTGGTGGCAACTTGCAATGATGCAATTTGGATGCTTGGTTGTTTTGAAGGTTATACTAACTTATTATGCTACCACATCTCTGTTTTAGGCAAGCCTATGGTTGTAACCTTCCGTGCTTACTCTAAGGATCAAATTCTTTCAATACTTCAAGAGAGGCTCTCGGTAATCACTACATTCCACTTTCACTCTTTGTACGGAATTACTTTGAATTTGATTTGTGTGGCAAATTCATGTTATTGAGTTTTAATGACTTTGCATTCTAACAGGTACTTCCATATATTGTCTTCCAGCAGCAAGCATTAGAACTTTGCGCCAGGGTGAGTCGATCAGTGATCTTATTTTGAAAACCTTTTCCTGTCTTCAATTGATCTACTATCAATAGATACTGACAGCTTGAATTTTAACAGAAAGTTGCGGCTGCGTCTGGAGATATGCGGAAAGCTCTTTGTGTTTGTAGGTCAGTGTTTCATTGCTGTTGTTGCTGCAAACTATGGCCTGAAGTATAAAATTGTTAAGTTTTAACCAATTAGACCTTAGAAGTGACATTACAACTGATATTAGTGAAAATTGACAACAGATGCAGCAATTTAATGTTGTTTAGTTTTGCCTTGCAAGGCTTATTTGATTATAATAAATGTACTTAAATTCTATGGGTGTCAAGGCATTCTATTTTTGTTGTTTAAACTATTTTGCCAAAAGAATACTACAAAAAAAGTGTTTGGTCTCTAATGTCTGTTGGATGCATAATCTTCAAATTCCTAAATTATTCATTTTCTTTTTTCATCTCTTATACATCAACATTGTAGATAGTTTGTTTCCCAATGAATAATATCTTCCTTGCTTTGACTAGAGTAGTCACTTTAAATTGTTGGCTAACATTCTTCAGTTTGATCCAGGAGTGCGGCGGAAATTCATGAAGCAGAATTAAGAGAATGTGCAAGCAACCTGAGTTTGACATCAGTAGAAGGGGAGTTCATTAGTCAGCAGACAGCTCCTGCTCTAGAAATCTTCCAATCACAAGAAAATAATACTGTAAGTGGTCATCAATAGCTTAATATTACCTCTTCCAAGCTTGAGCTTGTTACATTAGTGTTAGACTACCGAGCTATCTATTACAGCCCCTACTGTTGCTTACACATAATGGTGTATTTCAGGTGAGGATTGATCATATGGCTCTTGCATTGTCAAAGGCATTCAGATCACCTATAGTTGACACTATACAGTCTCTTCCTCAGCATCAACAAGTAAGTTTGATCATAAATATAAATTTTGCTGCTATGGTAACATAGCCCATTATAAATACAACCGACCAATCGTTAAATCTAAAACTCATGTCTCCTGCTGCTTCATCTTCTCTCATGCTGTTAAGTTTGACTGCAGATTATACTTTGCTCTGCTGTGAAGTTTTTCCGTGGTGGAAAGAAGGATACAACTGTTGGGGAGGTGTGTTTTTCTTAATGCTTGACGATGATAAGTTGAAACATTTAGCAGTTGCATAATTGATTTATAAGGGTGTTACATTGGTGCAGTTAAATAAATCTTATATTGACATCTGCAAATCATCACTGATACCTCCAGTTGGGATTTTGGAATTTTTAAGTATCTTGAGAGTGCTAAATGACCAGGTAACTAAAGTATACCTATTCTTCTGTTTGAGCTCAACTCAATAACCTAGCTTTAAATGATGGCAGTAACTGTTTTTCAGAGATGCATTAACTATCTAACAGGACCAAATCTAGAAGGGGAAGTTTGACATGATTCAGTGTACAGGGTCTTTTCAAATTAGGTCAGTCTCGTGATGATAAATCAAAGAGAGTAACACTAAAAGTTGATGAAGCTGACATCTCCTTTGCACTGCAGGTACAGATTTATCATTTGAGAAGGACAGCATTTTATCTTGAGTATTAATTTGTTTCGTAACGATAACCATTTATCTGGAACAGGGAGTTCGATTCTTTAGGAACTGTCTTCAGTAATTCTGCATAAACGAATTACTGAAGGACTTGTGATAGCTTTAATATGGTGGCGGTCTCGAATTCATCGGCTTGCCTGCTCCTGACTTAAGGTCCAGAGCCACTGTTTTCTACAATTATTTCTAAATATGCTACTTGATTATGCATGTGATTGTTCTTCCACAGTTCAAATTTTATTTGATGGTGTTGATCAGATGTTCAATGGTTATTACGATGCTGATATAGGTTTACGAATCTTTTATTAAATGCCATTGTTGTAGTTCTTAGTTAAGATTATTCATGCACATGGATGGACACATCAAAAGTATAGATTAAACTACAAATTATAGCTTTCTGCCGAGGACAAGACAGGACAGGATTGTTTGATATAAAATTTATTAGTGCCAATCAATTGTTGTGTTATAAATTCGTACCTGCAAGAGTGCATTTAATCAAATCTTTTCTTTAAGTTGGTCTGAGTTTTATTATGAAACTGTTTCCTTTCACTTTCAGAGAGTGTTATTACAATTGAGTGAGGTTGTCACTTTTATTGGCATAATTATTTATTGAACATTAACTTAAATCACATTTCCTCGCAGGCATGCCTTTGTAAGCTTGCATGGCAAACCTGGAGTCAAAGATTATTCTACTTCAGCATTACAAGTCAACAATATTGAGGGGAATGGCATGATGGAACCCACTGGCCACTGCTTTCTTCCAGTAATGTTAGAGAACTTACAATTGTTGACAATTTGATACAAACTGCAAATTTCAAACCTAGGATTTTTTTCCCTTTTTTGTGCCAGAAACTTTCGAAAATATATAAATTCTTGTGCAATTTTTTGATGGGATTCTTGAGTAAAATTGGTTCTTTTATTTTTTAATAAAACTATTTTAAAAATCTTTTTAACAATGACCGTCTCAGGTGTAGAGTATGTAAATCTTTTTCGTTCTTGCCAAATAGTACCACGTATAATCTCATGTCCCCATTGAGAGAACTCAAATGAGTTTCTACAGCTACAAGCTCACTCGACAGTCGTACCACAGTCAGAACAGAGGAAAAGTAATAAAAAGGATACAAGCAAATGAAATTGTGGATATACATCAATATAGAATATCCATAAACCGGAAGTTATAATGCAAAAAGTTCAAAAGCTGAACAGTGTAGCAAAGAAAACCACGTCATCCAACACTAACATCAGTTCAAAATAAAATCTCAAACGTGTTTTTAATATCACGAGTTGAGACTTAAATTTTAAATTTACGTAGTTAAGAGATTTTGACATTCATTTTTTTGATGTTTTAGATTAATTTTTTTATCATGGATCATATTTTTGTGAGGTATTGTCCATTTTGATCTTTTTAGCCTCACGATTTTATCTTACAAAAAATGCTTCATAAAAAAAAAAATGTAAATCTTTTTATACTCCAGTGATCCTTCTATTATAGAAGATATGAGATTCAGGACTCTTCTTTAGGTTTGTGATATTCTTTTCCACCCAACCTCGTGACGCCCTCGTTACAGAGGCTGGTCACTCTGTCTACTTCCCTCGAAGTGTTTGACGTTGATCGAATGGTTTAGGGTTGATTTGATACCACTTGTTATGGGTTGAGACTTAAGCTCCGAACTCGTGCGGTTCCGAGACCTGGGCATTCATCATTCCGACATCCCAAATCAGTTTTCTTGTCATGGTTCACATCCTTGTGAGGTATTGTTCGCTTTGATCTTTGACCTCACGATTTTATCCTACAAAAAGTGTCTTACAAGAAAGAGAGGATGTAAACCCTTTTATATCCCAATAATTTTCTTATTATGTTCGATGTGAGATTCATGATTTTTTCTTATGTCCGTGACATTAGTTCTATCCTACTTTCTCGTCCAATTGCCAACTAGATTTAGTCAAAAAGACCACCAACCAGGTCCTCATCTGACTCCTCTTCAACCTCCTTGGGCTCCACGCACTGCTCTATCTGCTCTTTGTTGGCAGCACCGGAAGCTGGAACAGCTGCAGAAGCAGCAACTGCAAACTTGCTTGGATCCTATAGTTTAATCATCAAATCACTTCAATTTTAGTAAGCAACAATATTAATAAGAGATAAAACAAATTAAGCAATGCCTTGTCAGTCAACCTTTAGGTATTCTTTGACTTTCTCAGCCTGAGGGAAGGAATAATCTGAGGCCACAGCAACAGAAAGGGCATTCTTGTAGGCATTCACAAACATATGAGGTGCAGCGGCTAGAGTTGGGAATGAAATAGCCAGAGAAAGGGAAGCAACCATTGACAGTCCATTGGCAAACTTCACCATAAGATCATCTTCAGTTAGATCAAGCACCTCAGGGCTGAAGACAGATCCATTGTCATAAACAGATAAGAAAACAAGACCATAAGAGAATGGTCTTATCCCAAGCTTTGAAAGAAGGGCAGCCTCAGATGATCCAACCTTCTCACCCTTCTTAATGAGCTCCACAGCGGTGATGATTTCCACTGTACCTTTGTTGATCTTGGTCGGAATATTAAGCACCTGAGAGGTTCAAATGTGAGATTATAGCAAACATGAGAGCTCGTGAAAGCAAAACTCAAGTATATGTGAACCTGAAAGAAGGAAGTTTGAGAAGGATCAAGGCCAGTGTTGCCGGGGGGAACAACGACATCTATTGGAGCAAGAAGACCCACACGCGCTGGAGCCCCAACCTGCTCATGCCAAACCACATAATTATTAAAGATTAATGCAAATCAACATACAAAAGAAGCTAATGTTTTTCTGTAATACCCCAGCCCAAATAATAATTGGGTTAGATTAATACTAAAGCCCATCAGTTTATTAAGACATTATTTAGTAAAAGAAAAAAATGTTGAAGTATTAGATGAAAGAAAACTTAACTATCGTGAAACAGAAAAGAAATAGAGTTCTTTCTCCTCATCTTCCTTAGGGTTAGAGAATATGAAAAATCAAGTTGGAGATTCACAATCAGAGGCTACAATCAAGTTAATCCCTTAAAGGTGAGTACATGCCCTCTTTTTATTTGAAAAGAAATATCAAGTTGATTGCTATTATTTGGAGTTAAAGTTTTGAGAGCAAAATCAAGAAAAATCATGAAATTTTTCATTAATCTTCATGATTTATTTGGGTGAATTACTGAGCTTTGTTTATTTCATGTTCTTAAGATTTATTGATGATTATTGAATGGAGTTTGAATGCTGAAAGTAAGGATTTGAGTTTTTAAAGATTGAAGGAAAAATTCTATTTTTGGATGAGATGTTGTGATCTGTAATAATGAATTAAAATAGAATTTTGTATTAATGGATAGATTATTGCTGTGATTATTATATATCATTGGAAAGCATGTTGAATCTAGTTTCTAATGAAACAAACGAAAGTCAAATCCGAGTTTTCTATGAAAAGTTGTCTAATTTTAACTTAAGGATATACAGGTTGTAAGACAGCAGCATCAGGTTGAATTACGAAGTTTTTCTTAATTTGTATACAAGAATTTACAGATTAAGCCATATATGTTTGGAAAGCTTATTGAGTCTGCTTTCCAATGAAACAAGCGAAATTGAATTTGGAGTTTCCTGTGAATAAATATATAATTTTTATTAGAAGGTATACAGGCTGTTTGGCAACAGTATATAATGTGGATTTCAAAAATTGTTATAATTAATCTACAAGGAATTACAAGGTGTGCCATATATGGTTAGAAAGCTTATCAAGTCTACTTTCTAACGCATTAAAGAGATCATAATTCTGATTTGGATATATTGAGATATGACTGTTTTAATGAAAAGAGGTTAGGCTGCCAATATTAATTAGTTAAGTTAACCTTTTGTGTAACTTAGTTGATTTTTGTATAAATGGTCTCAAAAATGGTTGATTAAATTATGATCTGTTGAAATGATCTTGGATAGACAATTAATTATTTTGGAGGAAAAATTAAGTGGTGGAATCGAATGGAGGTAAGTAGAATCTCACACACTTTATTTGTTTTCGAACTTATGTATTTATTTATGTTTCTAAATGAATGAATGTTTTATTTCTTTATTTTTGATATATGAAAATGGGATCAAGCATATGATTATTTTGTGTTTTTGCTATGTAAATGATGGATCATGCTTATGAATGAAATGAAAAAAATAATTTATGTTTAAAGAATGATTTTGTGATAGCTACGTTTTTATATCCCTAAGAAGTGGGATCATCGACACTAAAACTAGTTCTACGACCCTGGCTAATGGGTAATAGTAGTTAGTAAAGACATGATCATACGACCTTGGCTAACGGGTAATAGTAGTTAGCGTAAGCTCTGGCTAACGGGTTATAATAGTTAGCAATGATCATGAGAATGAAATTGTTGATACGGCTAATGTCACGGGTTATAGCAGTGACCGTAGCTAATGATTTGAATGATAATGATGATTTGGTTTGATAATGATGATTTATGATAATTTTAATGATTGATCCATGATTTGGTTTGATTATGATATTTGAATGATAGCATATTTTACAATGATTTATGAAGTGACATATTTTGACATTGATTTATGAATTTATGAAATATTTGACAAAACGATGATCTTGAAATGTTTTGATATTATGATTTGATGAATGTTTTGAATGATTTATTTGATGTATAAGAAAACGATGCTTGATTTGGTAAGGTTTGTGAGCCTATACTTACTGAGCTGTGGTTTACTCATTTTTCTTTTTTACTTTTTCTTTACAGATGACTAAGTGATAAGTTTGGTTAGTCTTGTGTGAAGCTAGAGAGGAAATAGGAAAGATTACTTAGTCGTTGAAGAATATGTTAGCCAATGAGATCTTAAGAGATATTTTTATATTTTATATGATTTATATTTGGATAAATAAAGATGTATTATCAGTTGGATTAAAGATATGAATTTTACTTGATAGATTGTTTTATTGAAAAATTTTAGAATAATTAAAAAAGAAAGCTTCGTATTACTTTGAAATTTTCTTCAAGATAATACGATCGTGTTATATCTCGATTCGAAGCGTGACATTTTCTGTATCTTCATTTTTGTTTACGTATCCATGTTCTGACATACGCCCCAAACCTCAAAGTAGACATTAGTATAGAGAATCAACCTTTAAAATATAGCAAAAATTTCAGAACACCACGTGCCAAATCCCAAGTCCAAGCAACATATGCCAAAAGAGCAGATATACTGTAGTTAAGCATAAAACTAAAAGAATATTTGACATGAACTCAGATACAAATCCGAAGCACAGATTTTTTCATCATAAAGTGGCCAAAAGTCATAAAAAGACTATAATATTGGACTAACAGCCACTTCCTGAGGTATATATTAGCAAAATTGGTACAGGATCATCAAAGATAATTTCTTGAATTGCAAGAAAAAGAAAAAGAAGAGGTAAACTTTTAATTTTTACAAACTAGCTAGGCAGCTAACAAATGGTAATCAAGACATGGGTAAATAACTGAGACAGTCAAAGTAAAATCATGAGGTTAAAACATCTTTCAAAAGTGAATAATCAAGAATGCAAAACAGATCATTCTACCATAAATATGTTGTAAAAATTTCAATCAATACATTTACCTTGTATTTAGCAATTTCTTCACGAACTTCCTTCAAATCACCCTTGGTGAAGATCAACCCCACATTACCCTGGTATAAGCAACGGGACTAGTAATCAACCATAAAAGCCATCAACTTAAAAATAAACAAAAAAGCCAAATATTTTCTCAAAAAAGATGACAAAAAAATTGCTCATTAGTCATATATATTTCAGAAAAAAAAAAACCAACAATATTAAAAAAGTTTCTATAAAAGAAGAAAAAGTGTAG